CAATGGTTGTAAGTGCGACCGCAATTTAAAATATTCGCTAAATGAATGGTTGTAAGTTGAGGACTACTTATAGCAGAAAACCACAGAACAGAAGTACTCAACTCTTCTTCCAGTTTGTTATTCCCTAGAAACCTTCCATTCCAGCTATTTCCTTTAGTTTCCTGGCAGCTTCTCCCCCCCGCCCCCTCCAGTCATACGATTCAGCTTGTGGAAGTAGTTCCAGGGTCGAGCTAGGGCAGACAGAAGGAAGAACAGCTCCACTTATTAGTTCTTCCCATCCTTCATTTAAAAAAAATCTTCAGGAAAAATGACTGCCAAGTAAATGTGCAGCTGATCTCTGATTTTGGGGAATGCAACATTTTCAGGTTGCTTCCTCAGTTAGAAAAAGAATCAGAAAATTCCCTACAAATATTTATCAATCACTAAGCTCACAATGACTTACAAATTGCTAGGTGATCTTCAGAATACAATTAAAAATAGGAGCATGTGAATCAGAAAGGAAGAATTAACAGACATCATAATGAATAAGAAAGAGACTGAATATGCAAAAGAGAGATAGGTTTTCACCAAGAAATAATAATGGCAGGAAAATATAAATATAAGAAAAAAAATAAACCTCGGTCACAATAATGTTCCATTAATTCCAAAATAAAGTGCTAACTGATCAAATGGAATTTTCTTACTGAGAAAATAAACCATCTCCCTTTACTATTAAATATCTGGCAGGTTTTAACATTGATGGCAATTTATTTCATTTATTATTAGGCATTAAGAGAAGATAGGGCAAAAGATGTCTATGAATCAACAAGATCCATAGCTGCTGTAAATACATTTGTTAAAATATCAAATTTAATCAGAATGTGTACCATAGGCTTGATTGTCCTGAATTTATCATACAAGCTCTCTTTGTGGGTTTTACCATTTCAGATTCGCAAGCTAAGTATGATAGACTATTAACACACATACACCTAATGAAAGATCTTCACCTAATAAAAGGATCAAGGATCACTTCTGTGATCCTCTTTATTCTCCACCTTTTTGGTTTTCATGGGAAGGAGCCAAGAGGCTAAAAGTTGGAAAGAAAAAAACAAATGGGAAAGACTGGAAGTTTAACTTTTTTGTTACACAAATTCTTCCAAATGCAATATTTTCCAAGCAGATGATTACACTGTCCAGTTATATAGTATCAAGGACTGACTTAGATGGAAGGGTGAGCATCAACTCTTAAATCAACATTTAGAGAGGACTTTTATTGAATGGTTCCATTTTCAGTGATCAATGGAGGAAGAGGTATTTAGGTTGGTCTTTTTAAAATATAGTATTTATTGTATGCAAAGTGCTTAATGAAATCCTCTTAAAAGCCTGTGAGAGACAAGTCTACATCATAAATGGGAAAATGAGATTGGAAGATTGTGACCTATCCAAAGACACCCTGAATTGGGAGTTTTCTGAATCAGCTCTGATATTAAGTGCTTTGATTTAAATGACAATTGACTGCTTGAGCCACAACTAAGTAGCGTTTACAACTTTCAGCCAGCTTTTTAATTCAACAATGTTTGTTTTCATTTCAAAATGGACGGGAGAAAAAAACCCTAAACAGAATCGTGTAGTTAATCTTTGCTTTGGTTCTGGTATCTGCATCATCTCACCTCTGATCTTTAAGCAGCTAATAAAATCCAGATCCCTTATATAATTTAAATTCCTAATCTGATGCCTAGACTTGCAGAAGAGTCCATCTCTTGATTAAAGAAGAGATGATCTTTAGAGATGTTAAGCAGAAATTCTGGTTTCTTCTAAACTAAAGGGGTGGGGAACTATGGCCCTTTTATGACCTATCAACTTCAACTCTTAGAATTCCTGAACCAGCATGGCTGCCTTAGGAATTCTGGAAGTTGAAGTCCACGAGTCATAAAGAGGCCATAGTTCCCCACCACTGTTCTAAACCATATGGGATTATTATTTACTTTGGCTAATTAATTTGTAGTAATCATGAAGAGGTGTGAAGTCACCAGTATGACATTGCAAAGGGGCTTGTCACTGACTGCTAAATGCAGGTGTGCTTGTTCTGTCTCCTACTTTATTGCTATGCTTTTCATGCAAATTACATTGACCTTATTCAGATATTCTTGTAACTGTAGAATATGGAATTATCTCAAAAGTACCTATTTAAAGGTATCACCCATTTCCCTAACGTTTCTTATCCAAATACATTTCTCTGATTCTGTCTGCATGGATTTGTGTTGGATTCAGAGTGTGCTATATTTGAAATAGAGTAGATATTAATATATCCCAAGCAAGACACCTGCTGGCATCAGAATTGGCATTAAGCCATAATGTTTGGTACTGCTCTAAGGCATTGTGGTTTATAAACCAGAACTTTGGCAAAAGAAGTGTATCTCACCTGAGAATGAAGCCTCTTCCTTTTGGAGAACTTCAGTTCTCCTGGTTAAACAGGTGTCGTATCTGCTAGAACTTAACAGCTTTACTGTATTTTTACTCTCTATTTGTGGAAAATGAAAATAAATTACTCATTTGCCATTGCATTTTGGCAAGGCAGTCTTGAGGGGAAAGCAGAATTCTATGGATTATAGAAAGGCATTGGGTGCCACGGAAATCCAGTCTACTCCTGAACAGGGAATTCATCTTTATAAACTTTTTAAAATAATTTCTTATCCCGCACACAGTAGTCAGATGGCTCCTATCTACTGTAGTAAGTTTAATATTTGGAGGATTACCTTTGATCAATTTCTGTCCATATTCCAAGAAGTCTTTTTGTAAACTTTCACAAAATGGGAATATTCAGATGCAAGAATTGTCAGTTTCTTCTCCAAAATTAACCTTGGAGTTGGAAGAATTTTGAGGGGGAGATGCAGACAAAAGATGACTTAACTCTGCATGTGTATAGATTGAGGCCTCATATTATGCTCGGTCTGGGATGTATACATTCAACTAGCAAGTTCTATCACAATGTTTCTTAACCTCAGCACCAGAGGTGGTATTCAACAGCTCCTGACCAGTTCTGGAGAACCAGTAGCAGAAATTTTGAATAGTTCAGAGAACTGGCAAATACCATCCCTGACTGGCCCCGCCACCATCTATTCTCTGCCTCCTGAGTCCCAGCTGATTGGCTGGATCTTCTTTTGTTGCCCTGCACAGGAGAACGGAGCTGGAAAGCAGGTTTGTGGGATGGGGAGGGAATCGGGATTTTGTAGTATCCTTCCCCTGCCATGCCCACCAAGCCATGTCCACAGAACCGGTAGTAAAAAAATTTGAATCCCACCACTGCTCAGCATCTTTAGTTGCATGCTTGCTGGGGAATTATGGGAGTTGAAGTCTACACATCTTAAAGCTGCTGAAGTTGAGAAAAAAACACTAGAATTGCTCAGAATGGCAACATACTGCAACAATATAGCAACAACAAAAAGACAATGCAAAGTAGGCACATGATAGCCTCATGACGTGTATCTCCTGCTTGAGAGGGTACAAGTCTCTCCTAAGTGCACATGACTCCATTTTCAACCGTATTTTCATAAATGCAGGATTTCTTATATGCTTACACAGAGGGAAACATCATTCACTTACACAAACATTTATAAGACATGCTCTCCTTTTACCTACACACGCATCTATAAATGGAACAGTACAGAGTACAAACCTACATAGATATACCTCTTGAATTGTGACTCCCAGGTCAGGGGACAAAAATGCAAGAGACAGGAAAAAAAACAAATTGTGCACGGATGGTTGGAAACAAATGTTCCAGCTCTATGGCTGATGTACCTATCCCCTGCTCTAGGATGGATCGGAGGACTAGATTTAGTAGAGGCTTCTCAATCTTGAATGAAGAGCTAAAAGGGCACCATTTATTCATCTACTAACTTCCTTCTCCACATGCAGATGCTCACTGAATCCTACAGGCCAAGTTTCCCCAATTTGGCTCCTAGAATTCTCAGAAGTGGCCATTTTGGCTGGAGAATTCTGGGCGGTTCAACCAGGAATTTGAGGGCAACCATGTTGGGGAAGATGCCGTGGCCCTTGGGATACCTTGACAGGGATCACGGGTCGGTGTTTTGTTTTGTTTTGCCTCAAAATACTTTGGGAATGGACATTTTCTTTGATTACAGAAGTCTTACTATAGAAGGTCCTATAAAAAGCATAGGACAAGGAAACATGACATGGCTATTTGGCATTTGGAAATATAATAGAAAGATTCCTTTAAAAAGTGGTACTAGCCATGGCTTTGAAACGTCAATATTAATACTTCTTATTCTTTGAAGACACATTACTCCACCTAAATGCTATGGCAAAAATGTTTTCTTTAAATAAAAAGAAGAAAGTTATGGCATTATATATTGTGAAACACTCCTGAAATACATTCAACTTTCATCTTTGTAACAACTTCAAGTTTATTCTTGCTTTTTTTTCTCCTGTGCACCTTATAAAGCACATTTGTAATCCCTCCAAATCATTTTTATTTTCCTTGAATTAAAAAAAATGCAAACATTCTTTATTTTTTGAGGTAAATTATTTTTCCTGAGTAGTTAAAAAAAGGGAAAAAACCACTACTACATACATTAGAAAAATAAAAAAGAGCCTAGCTTATTCAATAATCTACATTTTAAAAAATCCCAACCCCCTTCTCTCAAAACGTACTGATTCCATCTGCTTTATTGTAAGATATGCCTCTGAAAATGAGTCTGTTAAGAAATATTAAATGAATGATCCATAGGTTGTTCACAATAGGGACCTATAGGACAACCTTCCCTAATTAGTTTGACAGAACCATGAAATTCTGACAGACATCATTCAAAAAAAACTCAAATATTGTTTTTTGGGAACTTTGTGGGCCAGGCAATGCCAGCACTGACAGTGGTTGGAATGTTTATACACCCCAATGTAGTTGCCAGCCTGCCATTTTGCGATTGTTGTAAATATTGTAAAATGTGTATGGTGTAGGTTAAAAGTGAATTGAACTGTGAGGTATTTGGGGGTTTCGGGGATTTTTTTTTGCTATTTTTATGCAGGGCTTCCCTGAGACCTGAACATTATTTCAAGGGTTTCTTCAGGGTAAAAAGATGGAAAGAGGCTGCAATAGAAGAGTCAGACAGAAGTGTTTGAGGTGTGCAGCATTACAAAGGAGCTGGGAAAGGGGTAATACCTGGCAGAATATTTTACAATGCTGGCTGGAAAGGGTTGATTAGAAGAACAGATCAATAATAAATAGGTTATCCTGAGTTCATTGAGCAACTACTTTTCATTAACATAGAGACCTGACAACCACCACATAAACTTTCAGACATTTTTTTTAAAAAAACAAGCTGCATGTCAGTCAGTCTAGGGGAGGACTTGCATCCAATTGGTGTGGCTTTTTTTTTTAAGAGATGAAAACTACATCTCATCCTTTCCCCCATTTTCATACGGAAAGAGGAATGAGACTCTCAGAAACTGGAACCTGCAGCGCCCCAAGACCTTTAAGAGCAAACCAAGAATTCAATGCTTCCAGTGGCTTCCTCTCAAACAGATTAAAGATTATTTGGAAAGAGGAACAGGAGCTTCCCCACTAATTGTGAGAGCCATACATTTTATCCCATTCCACATACAAGTCCAGCTCCTTCTGAGAAACAGCAGGGTGGATTTTGCAGAAAACGCTTTCAAAATCCTTGTAGGAGGTGGGTTGAAGTTGGCCTGGCAGGCTATGCAGTTTATTGGTCCCTGCCTGCTGACAGAGCTGGAGGAGCTCACTGCCCGAGTAGCTTTCAGTAAGTTGGACAATGGAGGCCATCTCCCTCTCGCTGAGACAGTAGTTTTGCTGAGCTAAAGCATGGTGCAGAATCTGCCGCCTTGCAATGCTGTCTGGCGGGGAGATGTAAAAACGTTTGGCAAACCTTCTTTGGGTGGCTTCATCCAGATTACCAGGCCTGGTGGTGGTTGCTATGACAACCACATTCTGCTCAGCGGAGGTAGCAAGCTTGTCCAGGTAGGTGAGCAACTGGGACTTCGAGATGGCAGCGTCTTCTAAAACAGATTCCACATCGGTGAGGAGAATGACAGCAGGCTGCCGACAGCTGGATATGAAGAAAGTGGTCTGTAGGATTTTCTCTGCCTCAGCCTTCCACTTGGAGACCAAGGCTGTGCCACTGAGCTTCAACAGGGTAGATCCCAGCTGGGTAGAAATGCACCTGCTCAGCAGGGTCTTCCCTACACCACGAGGCCCAAAGAGCAGGATGGTTCTGGGTGGTTGGTTTGCACCAGTATATGCACCAGGCCTCAGGATGGGCCACACAAGCTCTTCTTCAATGGCAGCTTTGACAGAGACTTGTCCTGCAATGTCCGTCCACTGGACTGGAGGGCCGCAGTCAATTACTTTGTTGTTCACCAATTCCAGAATGAAAGGGTCCATGGTTTTCAGCTGTTCTTCTACTGGCTGGCTGCTGTTGTCACCACTGAATGCTGTTGTTTTGGGCTGCATCCTTAGAGCAAAGGAGTCTCCCTCATGCTCCCCATTGGCAGCCGGAGGAGTGAATTTCTCAAAGCTCTCACTAGCCCTCAGTGGGGCTTCACTAACACTGTAAGCTGGAGAGACCAATCCTTTCATAGCCTGGGTGTTGAACTTCCCAATGGGCTCATCGGAAGCCACTGTGGTTGCCACCACTCCTGCTCCACTTGGCCTTTTCCCACCTTTGAAAGGCACCTCTGAGCTCCGGTTGAATCCATTCCCTCTACATTCACCATTGTCGGACATCTGATATGGGGACTTTGGTTGCTCATAGCTGTATTTGCGATACCTGTCTTCGCCATCTTCCTCCC